ATCGTATATCGACTCTACATTGAATTTTAGAGATTTAACTAAACCCTGAAAGATAGGCTTTTAACTGGAAACTGTCGCACAGGGGAACCTACAACCCTTTGATGGAAATTCGAGCTTTGCTAAAAGCACGGCATATTTCGCCACCAAAATGAACTACTTTCAAGTACAGAATGAGGCTGCAGAAAGGCCTGTCTTTCACGACCATTGGAGTTCATCAGATGAACAACACCCCTACGAGCAAAGGGAGTACGTCTATATAAGCGAACATGCGAGTTCCAGGAAGCAGTTCAGAAGAAGAAGATGCGAACATTGGAACAAGAAATTTATTTGCCTGACACTTTGGATTCTGGCGAGAATTCCTAATCATAGGTAACCGTAGAATGGTGTGAAACATGCATAGATTGCAGAACCCAAGTGGTGGTACAAGAACTGATAGCGGATGGCCACTGCAAGCTACAGTACCGCCTAGAATTCGTGTAATACGCCGACATTTGTGAAAGACGAATACTCTTGCGCTAATCGGCATTGAGTAAGGTTGTAATACCGACTATCGTGTAGTCTATTCTGAAAACATTTCAGTAACAATAGGATGCCAGCTTTTTAACGAGCTTCTTTCTAATCGCTTACGAAACGCATATACTGTAAAAAGTGGCTACTTAATTAGTATGCCTTTTTATCATTGATTTTGACTGCCTTTATAAATTAAAATAAAAAGATTTTTCATGAAAAGTATACACGAAAGTGTTCGTTCTTCTACTCGGTTCGTAGCAAATGACACCTTTAACATTTGTTTTAAAAAAAGTTTCTAATTCTGAGCTATTTTACGATTGTGAGGTGTACATTCACTGTACGCCACACCTGTCAATTTATTAATGTCGCCTATAAGGTATACAGCATGGTTCACATCTGTCGCAATATTTTATGAGAACTATGTGACTTCTTTTTCAAACCGACGGCGAAAACGTACTTTTCCTTAAACAGGATGTACACAGCACGCAGTTTGTAAACCTTGA